ACGATCAGTCACCTTGTGCTTTCATCTATTACTAGTAAACATGAAGATGCTAGCTTTTGTATCAAGCAAGCAGAAGCGGTTCGTAGGTCAGTTGCCGTTTGGATTTGAATGAACACACAAAGAGCGGAAAAGCCTATTAAACAAAATTTGTTGACCATTCAATCGTTTGAATTAAGCTCAATCGGCGAGAAAGCGGTAAAATATTATCTCAAAAAGATACTGATTTTGTGAGACTAAATGATTATGTTAAAAATAAGAATTCGAAGATTTTCTCTTAAATAAAATGTACGCTATCGTAACATATAAATAGGATAATCAATTTGTGCTGGTGATTTGATTGCCTTGCGTTGTGGAAATATCTTAATGGTATCATAGAATTCATTCAAAAAATCGAACAAAGTTTAGGTTTTATCAAAGGGAAATCCCAACTGTGCTAATGATATATCTGTGTGAAATCCTACAATTACATACAGCTACAGCTGTAGCTGGCTTCAAGTTACTTATAATCGTATAAACAACATTTCTGCTATGTGCACAAACACACGACAGGCTAAAAATAAAAAAATTTACCCAACTGAATATTATACATTTTTATTCATATAGAGATAAATAGCTGGTGAAAAGGCATTTGGTTGAAGATGATGCGCATATTTTTAGTCGTTTTAATCGGATGTCTATCGGCGAGTTTAAGCACTGCATCTCAGGAGTTGCCATGCAATATACTTGACTCTGTAGATATAACCAATGGAATTCGACAGCCAGACGGAAGTATCTTGTACGGCGGCGTCATGTATACAATAGATCAATACGCGACGGTGGATTATATCGTGAAAAAAGGCGTCAAGAAATTCGATGATTTCACGCATATTCGTGGATGTCCCTGCCATATCAAACCATGTCTTCGGTTTTGCTGCCCATTCGAAACACCAATAACGAGAGCAAATGGAACTAGTTGCATGTCAATGATATATCGAGAAAGAATAAAACTCGAAATATGGAACGATTTTCGTAATGAAACATTGAATTTAAGACATCAGCCATATTTTGCATATGTCGATGGATATCCTTGTTCTGTCGAATCCATGTATCCGGTAGACAACTACCATGTGTCACGCGTAATGATTTTTATTTATATTTGAACATTTTCATTTGATTTGTTCTCGAATTCGGTGTAACTTAAACAGTTTTTTTTTCACAATATGAAAGCATTGCCCATGCAATGAAAGGCATTTTTATGGAGTTTGAAAACAAAAATAATTGCTGGAACCCATTTGTGAAAATGAAAGCTGTTGAAATATGAATATCTATATGTGGATTGAGAATTCATATTTGATAGCTCATACCGACCCCATGTTCAGCTAACGCTGAATGAAATCAACATATTCAGCATTACTTTTGACAGCTACTTAGTTTGACAGATGTTTGTTAGGGGTTGCTAAAAAAGCTGTGTCTTTTTATTGCGTTGCATGCATACAAGATAAAATTTGCTTCGGATTTTCATTTTATTTCGTCAACTAAGAAGTGAGTGAAAACATTTCATAAAACATCCATTTCTACGAAATTCCATGAAGTTTTTGGAAAGCAATGAAAGTTTTTCTCAAGTTTTTCCAAAGTTTTTCTCAAGTTTTTCCAAATTCCACGTAAAAATTTGTTGTTCACGTTCCACAGGAAAAAGAAATTGTACAAGTTACACAGAGTTCGACCAGAGATTTGAAATTTGATAACATTTTTTCTCATTCTTTCTTTCAGAAAGGGGAAATTTTCCATGAGAATCGTTATTTAACGCATCAAAATTACTGCTTCTATATTGATTATATTGATATAATGGATTTGGGGTCGAATATGGGTCTCGGACCCAGAGTATTGATTTGCCAACCAGCAGCATCGCCTCCTCAATACACAATAGATCCGTTGGCTTACGGTAATACATCAATCGAAGTTTTCTAGAAATTGTTCTTTTTTCAACATTGTTTTCAATGTTATTTTCTCCTTTGGTGTAAATTTAGATATACTACCGATAACATCAGCTGTTCTTGTCATCGTCACGCTACTGATTTATGCATGCATACCAAAGCTGCATACTTTGCAAGGAAAATGTATAATTTTCTATTTGATTGTCTTGGCAATCGGTTGCATCCTGACTGCTCACCTAGCTATAAATGACCGCCGTTATGGGGATTATGTCACACCGAATATGTGTCGTCTCATCGGATTCATCCTTCTAATCTCCTTGTTGTCGTCATTTCTCTGGTTAAATGTGTTGAATTTCAACATGTGGCTGAGTGTATAGTAAGTTATATTGAATTAAATCAATGGCATTGACAAAATATCGAGAAAATATTCATACATTTTACCACAGTCCCACAGAGCGTTTTAAGCATTGGACAAACACGGCTAAACTACAATTATACGCCGTGTACGGTTTTGGTGCTCCATATATTTGGACCTTAATTGTTTACATACTTGATGGTTTCGGGTCCAAATTACCATTGATTTTCCGACCAGGGAGTGGAGAGAAGAGCTGTTTTTTGAACAGTAAGTAGCCACGGTCGGAAAATTTTTGGTCAGATTTCTTTTGAAATTTGATTTAAAACTTCAATCAATTTTTAATCAATATTTTTTTTAATTATAAATTCTCAACGAATCTTATTTCAGATATGTTTTTATACTTCCATTTTCCATGTGCAATCACATTGATCTTCAACCTCATACTGTTTGTATCGATTTATATTTCAAATCGTCAGTATAAAGTGAGACATGAACAAGATCTGAAACTGGCAGACGAAAATATTAATAGAGAATTATTGGCCGGGCTTTCTTTGGTCACGGGCATTATTTTGATGATAGAAATATTTGCATATTTACTCATCGCTGATAGCTTTGAAATTTTGTTAATTTGCATCGCTGTTCAGGGTATTATTGTTTTCATTCTGTTTGTGCTGAATTGTCGTGTGCGGAGTTCAATCAAAGAAAGGTATGAAACCATTGAACAATCTGAACTGTTTGATAACAAAGTGAAATTGTTCGATTTCTTATAATTTTGTTCGACTTTTAATCATTTTGTTTATTCTTTTCTTTGTTTCATAATCAGATGGCAGGAGTATAATGCCAAAAGGAATTCAAACAGAAAAAACGCATCAAATGCGCCAATGAATGAGATATCTTCATCGTAAACAATGTTTTCTTTTTTTTCGTATTCACAAACTACCTCTAAATATTAACATACTGTTATTTATATATTCTGTCTATATGACGCAAAAAAATGTACTTTCATTCACACACGCAAAAAACGTGACATCAATAGCATTAAATGCAAATAAATACAATGGTTCATTCATTGAACAAACTAAAATAGTAAACAATGGTTGAATGTTACAGCAAATATACTGAAATCAATCGAAAATTACACGAAATATTCTCAAAAGATGGCGCCCATCAACAATCATTCTTATTCATTCGAACTCAGCAATAAGTTCAGTATTGTCAGCCGCGTAGATGCAAGTGGCGTCAATTCAGTCGGCTAGTGGCCAATACACGAAGCAATCCACAAAAGAATATAGTTGCGATAATCAAACAACAACAAGCAGATCGACAGTATGTTTGAAATGGTGGCATAGAAAAGTCAGAAAATTATTATTCGGTGAACGAATAAAGAATTGCAACCAAAAAAGAAATTCGAAAATTCGACAATTTGTTTCTTTTTGTGTGTAAACCGAAAGAAGAATATACGAATACCAATAGTTTTTGTGGTAGACGGAAGGAAATAACATAAAAGAACGATTTTATTTTTCATTTCTGTACATTTTGAATATTTTTTCAAGACTAAAAAAAAGAGCGACGAAATACCGTGAAACTTTTCCTTGATTTGTGTGAGTCGCGCGTTTTTGCACTTAAACTGTAAATGAGCTCTATGCATTTTTGGTGTCCTTTCACAAAGACTTTCTGATCTGGATTCGGTGACATTTTAAATGGCAACCCAATTCGAAATAGCAACACAAAATCTCGTCTTTTCTTTTTAACAAAAAAAAAGAAAATTAAATGCAAATAAATCAAACGTAAACTAACTGTGATAAATGAAAAATAGAAAATAGTACAGTATCGAAATACGAAAAAAAGGAGAGAAGTTAAAATCTAGTGCATTTTTTTTTTAAACGAAAAGAGAATTCGGACTAAAAGATATAGAAAGGAAAGAAAGCTGCATAAATTGAATAATTTTTGTTTCGCTTTTTATTCGGACCGGAATTGTTGTTGCAACATTTGAATATTCACATCGAGAATCAGACAGCTAAATAGCATATGTAAGCATAAAAAAAGTGATGGAATGTAAAAAGAAACAAAATACGGTTGTTTTTCTTGATCGATCAAGCATTTTTTTTATAAAACGCATTTCTTTAAAATCTTCTTTTTTTCTTTTTCTGCTCTTTTTTTCTCTCTTCTGAAGGAATCACAACGACTCATGTGTTATCAGAGACATTGAATCGAGTATTTGGCGTGTATGTGTAAATTAAAATCAATGAAAAGATTTTTTTATGGTTTTGGGCAAATTAAGAGTAGTTTTTAATCGAAACGACGACGATAAAGCAATATAAAATATTTTTTATTCCCGAACTGCACACGCATACACACACACAAACACATACACACACCGTCATACAAACAGCGTACACAGCAACAAGCGAACACCAAAACATAGACAAATCTTGTGTGAACGGTGTACGACATCAGAGGTGAACGCGGCTGAAAACGACTTACAACGACGACCTACAAAAACCAAGCAAAACGAACAGAGAGCGTGAAAAAACAACAACAAACACACAGACACACAAACACCACATACTTTTTTCTAGACTTTTTCTTCCACTTCTTCTTCTTCATCGTTAACCATTTCATTTGGAAAGAAGTTGATTGCTGATTTTCGAGTTTTGCCACACTCACAAGCAGACACACACACACACACATACACCGGACGAATAACGCTTAGAAATCAAAAGGTATGTATGGAAAAAATCTAATTGAATGCATGCTACTTTTTTTATATTATTATTATTATCGTCATCATCATATCGGTATCTAATTCTTCGTATGCTTAACTACCATGAAATAAATTCACTTGATTCGCCTATCAAACGGTTTGTGGTTGTGCTGATTCGCTCGAGGTTTTTTTTTCTTCGGCGCTTTGAAAGAAAAAAAAAAACGTTCATTTCTAATCTCGGTAATACCGTTACCGCACTTTAGCCAGATCTAAATCGACAGAAATCGAGAATTGTGCTATCTTGTCTTGAGTTGTGTCTGTTTGGTTTTGGTTGCGGTTGCATCGCAATAATAATATGCTCACTTTTCGTCGTTTTCATATTCGATTGTCGTTCAATATATGCGTCGATAATTCTCGATGCTGCTCGGCTTTATTTCATACATCGATTTCGTGAACAACATACACACACACACACACACACAACGCCACAAACGGCCGAATTTATATTGCCTTTACATATATATCTATCGACTTCTTTCTTTTCGCATACAAACTGTTGCGCGCCGATACTCTCAATTTTTTTTCCCTTCTTCGTTCGTTCGTTCGGTCGTTCGTTCAAACATCGACAGCCTGTTTGTGTGTAGTTGCTGTTGCCATTGTTATTGTTATTATTACTGTTATGATATTTCGATATCGGCACTTCGTTACTTTAGCTTCTCTATTTCGAATCGATTTACCATTTAATTTATAAAGTTACAGTTTGATTTTCGAATTACTTTTCACATGAAAATGGAAATGCACGAAGAAAGAATGAAGAAGAAAAAATCAGTAACACAATAAGCGCGGCGGAACGAAAATATAAAAATGTATTTTATTTACGCATATTATGAAAAGAAAATATATATCTAGCTGAAAAAAGTATATTATGACGATGAACGAAAGAAAAAAAAATAAATAAAATGATTGCGAATGTTTTTGGCGTTTGCGGTGAGGAAAAGAGACGAGTGTGAAAACGTGTACGAACGGAAAAAAACGCACATCAAGCAACGAAACCCGAAAAAGGTTGTCGATTGGATGGGTATGAGTGTGAGTGCAAGCTGTAAGAGCAGGCCGCTCGTTTGTATTCGAATTTCATGCGAGAGAATGTTTGTGTGCGAATCAGCCAGTTCAATAATGGCGTTCAATATTTTTCTTCGCTGTTGTTGTTGCTGTTGACGACTTTTTTTTTATTTCTTTCGTGTGTTGCTACTCTGTTGTTCATTCAGCGTGGTGCCTTTTTATTCTCTTTTGTATTAAAATTTGCTTTTGTGTGTGCCTCTCGTTTCTTTCGAACAACGCACGGCTGTTGCTTGCCTGTTGTTTATTCGTTCACAATTTTCCTTCGACGAAACACGATTAAGCCGAAGCGACAGTAATAACAATAACAATAATGAAGATGAAAAGGAAAGAAAAAAAAAACAGTCAGCCGATTTTAATTCGGTGGTTGGCTATTTTTGTGTCCCATAAAAAACAACACTTGACGAAAAATGACACTCTAAATTTAGACGAATTGGGCATTGATATCATGGATATATGCTGATATGGGCGCTTGTGTCTCACTTGGACGACGTGACATGCTGATTAATGCCTATACCTAACACCGTTTTGTTTCACATTATTTCAAGTTTGTCGCCATTGTTTCACCACATTCGGCTTTTTTGTCACAATTTTACATGCACAAAATGTGAAGTGTTCTGTTTCTACTGTGAGTTTATTGCTACTGGTTGTCGGTCTCTATCTCGCTTTTTCTCTGTCTCACTCGCTCTCATTTTCTCTCTCTCTATTTCGCTCTCTCTCACTCGCACAATCACACAGAACCAAACGAACCGGTGAACGCGTGTGATTTACCATCTCTGTTTCGCATGCACCGTTGAGCCCATTACGTGCGTTTCACTGGCTCACGCACAACAAATAAAATTACCATGTCATTTCTTGATGTTGTTGATTTCTTTGCATTTTCTTTTGCTCATTTCATTCGAAGCCAATGTGTGGCTTCTTAGCTCATGCATGTCGATTTGTAGAGCAATTGCCAAACATCGAACGAACAAATGTTTCTCACTCGTTACTCTTTTTTTCTTTTCAACTGACGACGCTCTCTAGCCCTGTGTCTGTAATACATTTTGTAATTGAACGGTTTGGTTTTGGTACGAAAAGTTGATCGAATCGACATACACACACACACACACACGCCGATCGCCTGAATGACTGGGCAGATGTGTGGTCATAGTGCTAAAAGAAGTCACCTTTTCAATGCAAACATATGCAATTTTCATTATTCTCGCTTTCTGGCATCCCCATTGTGTCAATACGAAACAAGAAAATAGCGCCTTTGCAATGCGCACGTATTGTAATCCAAGACCTTTTTCGTTTTAATTACACACATCTGTCAATATCTCGAACGCTGTGTGCACGTTGTGAAGCTAAGGCCAAAATTTTTCGATGCAAAATATAAAGAATAACGGCATTTCGATTGGATCGATTCAAACAACGAAAAGAAAAAAAAATATTGTTATGAAATCATAGCAATTTGCTCGTTTTCAAGACATTTATTTGAGAAACCAGAGCAAAACATGATCGAATCATCGTGCGTGTCGAATTAATTTTTCATGTTTTTTGTCTTCTACAAAGGCGATCTTCAGTCTGATAGATATACTGCTTTACATGACATATACATTGGATCCAGTACGGATTTTGTGGCAAGAAGCATTTCTGCTGCTGTGCAATGACTTTTGCATTTCAATTTGATTGAATTAAAAACGAATTCGCTATTAACGAGTTGCGTTGACAATCTTGGCTTGAATCTATTGCAAATCGTCGTCCCCATTAAAACGGTTTCGCTTTCGGTATATATTTTCGTTGAGTTTTTTGTTGACTGTACCCGATGATCTCAGGCCTCCCCGTTTTCGATGTTCATCGATGTCATTCAAGTGTTTATATTTTTGCGAGTGCTAATCCGTTGCTTCCATCGTGCACACATCACATCTCGCCAATGTCAAAACTTTTTAATGAACCTCGTGCCGAGGGGACTATGTGCGAGTAAATGCGAGTCAAATCAAAATATATCGACAAGCTGTATGAAGGTTCGAAAGCCTGAGAATCATTTACAGCCACATCGAATCGCAAGTCTCGATACAAATTGTCTATACATTTTTCCATTGAATCGTGGAAATTTGCACTGATTCAGATGACACACAAGCCCATAGACTCGCGCGCACGTACGCACATACACCAACCGATAAAAATATATCATTTGAATTCGTTTTTGATGAAACATTCTTCGCTTGTTTTTGTTTTCCATTTTCATCTCTCTGGTGGTGTCATAATCGTTGTGTCGCCATCACATTCTTCCGATTCTCGATTCAAATGAGCAGCGCGCGATAGAGAATTTGTAGTCGCTGTTGTTGATTTCGTATTCACACATTATTCTACCAATCCTTCAATAAATTACGTTGATTCTCGCTGAATTTCAGCAACCGCTCGCGAGCGAGAGAAAATAATTGAAGAGGAAAAAAAACCAGAACAGAAATTCATTGACACGAATAACAAGCTGTTTATTGAGTCGTTTCCAAATCGCACGCTGTATCGAAGTCAAAAACAATCAATGTTGACTTATAGAGAAGAAACGGAGCAGTTTTTTTCGGTTTCTTTTTGGGGTCTACGAATGAAGACAACAACAAAAACAACGGCAGCAACAGCAGCAACAACGAACAATGTTGAGAATCTGATCGATTCAAGTCAATGTTCCATTCAATTGGGGTACATTGTTTGATGGCAGCGGCCAATTCATGAAATTTGCTAATGCACTCGTTTTCCAAAATGAACGTCATTTAAAGAAAATACGTACGTGGAAGACAACAACTGAATCGAAAAAGAAAACGGCCCCAAACAGCTGAAACATTTGTGTACTAGAAACAGAAACCAAGAACAACAACGACGACGACGACGAAAAAAACGAAACAACTGAAAATAATAAACAACAAGCACACGCATACACACAACTCGTCGCTCTCTCGCACTCCAATACAAATGGCAAGCCTCGTTTCTATTTTAAGCCATACATTTTCGATTGTAACTCGGATCAATTTCATAATCCTTCTTTCACAAAAATACTTGAACGATTTTCTTTCTGATTGGTCGATGGTTTTTGTCTGTCATTTTTTTGCCCTCTGTAGACACAATATGCAAAACACAATAAGCGAAAAACAAAATGCTGGAATGAAAACGATGAAATCGTATGAAAACAGTACGATTGCTGGCACAATGGACGAAATACAGTGAATATGTCTGTTTTTGGCTTTGATCACAAATCTAGTAACAATCATTTGATTTTTTATTTTCGTTGACTGTTCTCGACTCATTAGTTGGCTCGAAATTGAATGTTCACACGGCATAAAATGGCAAGACAAAACAAACCGACCGAAATATTCAAAGCCGTTTATATACGGTATACACGTACGGTACACAAAACAATGACTTATTTAGATCGTCTCGCTTATTATCTAATTTGGGGAAAAACGGTTACATGAACCATGATGAGCGATGCGTTGTTTTGATTTAACAGCTGTGTGTGTCTATATGGCAGAGCGCACGACGTTGTGTTTATGTTCTTATTTCGATGGCGATGTTTCCCGTTGTCTTTCCATCGAATTTACTGTGTTCAAAGTGGTTTTTAGACTGATTTTGGCTAATTCAGAGCTCATCTTGCCGCACATTAGCCCCACCGATTTCGCCCCAATGGCTTTATAATTGTGCATCAAAAATTGCGTAGCGACGACGATGACAACGACGGCGACGGCAGCAGTGTGCAACCGACGACACATTCTTCGAATCTCCATTCGCTTGAGTAACTTCAACACACACACACACACACACACACACAGAGAGAGAGAGAGAGAGAGAGAGAGAGAGAGAGAGAGAGAGGGATAGAGAGAGAGCACTAAATTATATCCGATACAATTTTTAATTGATCTTGCAACAAGTTGGGCGAGTGAGTGAGCGAACGAGCGAAAGATTTCTCTTGCGAGTGTAAAACGTCAGTCCTTTTGAATCTCTTTTCGCACTCATTCGGCTTTTTTTCCTCTCGATTAATTTTTCGATGGCTGGAAATTCGGTAAATGTGAACATTGTGACCCAAATGAGCAACTACATCCGGAGCCCAAGCAGTGAAATCTCACATTTTCAGGGAAAAAAACGAAACTTCGAACAACAAAAAAATACCCGAAGAAAACCAACTTTTTTTTCGCATACACACACACACACAAATCACGCTTTAGAAACTTGGCTGCAAATGGTGCTTTTTATTTGTAATCTATTTGGAATTTGTTCGAATGAATTCAACCGTAACAAAATGGATCAGACGGCTTCCAAATTGTTCGGAAATCTGTGTTTCAGCGAAATTCAGCTTATTTACTTCGAGTGCTGCGCTGATGGAGATTAAGAATGGCATTGTTCCATTCTATGATGGTGACCTTTTGCATTCAAGAAGGTCATTTCATAAGATTGTCCGTGTGCGCGCGTTCACATTTGCGCCCGATAATTGTGATGTCACCGACATCAACAAAAATACTCCGCTGTTTGCAACTTAATTAAACATATGCATCGAACTGACCTTGACATAACAACTGACATCACTGGGAAATTGACATGCTGCACGTTGTTATTATTTTTTCGAAGAAAAAGAAAGAAGCAGAAAAAACAACCACATCGAGCTGTTGAAATGCATACACGGTCAACCTGCGTATATATTGCACAACAGTGTACACATACTGGCACTGTATCGACGACGACAACAACGACGGACACATATATAAATAAATAAGCAGATTTTCGATTCACAATTCTTTTCCCTTCGGCAGTGTCGAGCGCTTGCCACCGATTATCACCCGATACGCGACAAACGAGTATTGATTGATGTTCGTGCATTCGGCTGCGCAACGCATTCACTGTGTTTTCTTCAATTGTTTATTATTGTTCGCGTTTTCAAATTGTCGTCCTCACACATATGTTTCGATATTATTGCTTACATAACGAATCGATTCAATTATTTATTAGAATGTTTTGACCATTCAATCATTCCTCCCCCGACGTTGGTTCCGTTGATTTCTTTTCCGTGTGAGAGAAAATAAACAATGTGAAAATGTATGGGCAGCGCAAAAAATAGCCATAGACTCTAATAGCATGAAAACCTACTGAATTTCTACTCGTTCAACACATGTTGGGCCGTTTTCAGCTCGATATCGATCGATGAAACCACACCGTTGCTGCAACAGCAATATACCACAGGCGATCCTGGTGGCACCGATTGTAATGTGTTAAAAAATACATTGTAACAACCAGGATTTTACTATCGGTGCCACAAGGTGTCGCTAGTGGTAATGCTCTTGCAGCAACGGTGTGGATGAAACGAAACAAAACGCCACAAAATACTTTGTACATTGTTTATGGCATTTTCACTGGGTGTACTCCATGCTATTTAATTGCTAATGAGCCGCTGTTGTTCATTTTGGTGCTCTTTTTTTGCTTCACTCTACCCTCCCCCAACACACACAGCAATCGACTCTTTTTTTCAACCAGATTCGCTGATTTACAACATTTCACGGTGAATTCGTTTCTGTGTTTGTATGTAAGTGGCATTTGTTCATTGTTGCAATTCGAGTCCGCATTGTTTTCACCAACCGTCTCTGTATCCATTTACCTCACTCGCGCGCGCGCCTCTGATTCTTATTTGCTCATTGGCTTTTGTTGTTATTGTTATTGCCACCATTGATTTTGGTTTAGTTCGGTTCATGTGCTCACTGTGTTTGTATGTTTTTGTTTGCGTGCCCCAGAATTGCAGATGTTCTGTGTGTGTATCAATCGATCGACAATGTTGTAATCATAACAAATGGAAAACATATGCAAATCTGACATTGACTCATTTCATTGTTTACGTATTTGATGTGATACAGTTTTTGTTTCATTCCCTCTGGCGCTCGCTCTTCAAAAAACGATTGAAATTTCGAGTGAAACATTCAGTTTTTAATATTCTGATTTGATAGAGTACCTTACTTCGGCACTTTTGATTGGATTTTCTACGGAAAGTAATCACATTCGATTTTCTCGGACGGAATTTCATACACTTTGTTATTCCTTTGGAAATTTACCCAGCTATGGCGCCCAATCAGCTGACAAATTAATCACTGAACGTTATCTTTTACTGTTATTTACACGTTTTATATATACAAAGCGCGAGAAGCATATGCGCGATGTGCTGACGTAATCCATACATATTGATATATATGCGCGTTATACGGTGAACTATTTTTATTTCGAACGTATTCGAACCACTCGGGATTGTTCATTGTGTTGCAATTTCTTTTTTCGTTTGATTTATTGCAAACACAAATTATATATTTGGATATATGCTCATAAATAATAGTTTTAGCATCGTTGAGCTCTCGACTCGATTTTTATTTCCTCTCTTGCGTACAGTCAATGACAGATAGCTGAGGATATATGCTGAGCATAGAAACTCAGTAAGCTGAGATTGGGACATTTTGAATTTATGACGTGTAGTTCATATAAATGCATGATGAAATGTATGAAATTGTATGCATGCCATCATAAATTTGTACACGTCATTAAGTCAAAATGTCCCAATCTCAGCTTACTGAGTTTCTATGCTCAGCATATATCCTCAGCTATCTGTCATTGACTGCTTGCGTATAAATAAAATGAACCGTTATCGTCTCTTTCTGATCAACTTCAAAATGATAACAGCAAATTGTGTTGCTTTTTTTCTCTCTCTTTCTCCTGAATATTGTTCCTCCTTATCAGCTGCTTTTGTGATTGGTTTTCTTTCAAATCTAAATGTTTTTTTTTGCGTTGTCAACTAAGTAGATTACAAAAAGCGAGATTTTTTTTCTTTTTATTAAAACGAAATTTTTTTCCTTCCGATTTGCAGCAGTTAAAAAAAATTTTGCGAACGGATACTGAACGAACGACGACCGACGGGAGAGGAGGGGAATCGTACGAAATATGGATCTAAACGTTGCTGTTCCACCAGCCAACGAGCTGTTTGACGACAACGACATGGTCTTTCCAATCCTAATGGGTCGAGAAAATCTCAAAATTCTTGCATCACCAGGCAGTGAATCGAGTGGTGTTAGTTCGCTGGACGCCGAAGAGGCAAAGGTAATATATACACATCGATTACGATATAAATTATTTATCGATTAGATAGTCAACGTCCACTTAAATTGTCTATTGCCACTAATTGTATTGTAAATAGGAAATTCGATAAATTTTCATTAAATTTTCCGTCTATCTACGAATACAAACCAAATATTGATATTAAACATGGTTGCGCGTTATTGGAAAGGAGCAACAGTTCATTGACACTCGCAATGTGTACGTTTAATTACTCATTTTTAATCGTAATACACGAAAAACAGCAGCATTCACATTAACTTTGTAATCGATGTTATTCTTTGTGCGGTAATTTTATTACCAGCCGCCTTTTTTTTGCGCGCTGCTCATGGGTCATGTCTGTAAAATGTATTCGAGCGCAACTACAGAAGAAAAAAAAACAACGACAACCGATTTTTTGAAATGTCGCTTGTTTTTTTTTCTTCCAGTTTATATGTCACACGTTTTAAGATAAAGCAAATGATGAAAAAAAAACCTTATGCAAGCCAATGTATTGACGAATTTTGCATGCAAAAGTGTATATATTTAACCTCTAAATCAAGTCTCGCGCTCATGCTCCCTTTCCGATAACAGCCACTGAATCGAAGAAGGCGAAGAAGAAAAAAAAATTGAATATAACGACGAGAAAAAAATGGAAATTCGTTGACAATTTTTTTTTGTTTGCTTTCAATTTGATGATTCAATTAACTAAATAAAAAATTTTGCTATTTGATATAGAAATTGGCTAATGAGCAGCTACCGACAAGCAGCAGTCCGACAATGGCATCTGAGCCAAGTTCAGCAGTACAAACGGAGAGTGAATCGAGCGATGGCGGCAGCGATGGTGATGATGACAAGCCAATCGAACAAAGTTCAAGCGAAAGCGTACAATCAACCGATGAAAGTGAGCAACAGTCAAACACATCGGACGATGAAGACAAAGACGATGTGAGCGTGTGCAAAGAACATAGCGACGAAAATGCGGCAGAAAGTGACGATCATGACAACGAACTAGTCTCAAATGCAGTTGCTCAAGATGACGATGACAAAGCATCACAACAGATTGATTTGGATGAGATTCGATACAAAAATCTCAAGATTTTCTACGAAGGACGTGACATTCTGGATTTCACCGCGAATGTGGCAAACAAATCATGGAATGTTAAATATGCACACTTGCCGGAGCAAAACTATCAAATGTACATTCAAAATCGATCTCAATACAATCGTTTGGCTCCGGGCTACGAGAGTCCCGAACACTATGCATTGAATGCATGTGGCAGATGTGCTTTCAATTTCCCAGTTATGGTTGATATTCCAGATGAAGCTGACCAAACCGCAACCAATGCATGCAAATCAAGTGTCAACGATTTATTGACACAAACAGTTGCATCGATCGTTAGTGCATTGGCACAGAAATTGCCGGCCGCTCAACCGATGGCACAGCCATCGATGCACACACCAACTGGCCAATCAATGAACAACTTGAACAATTTCATGTTGAACAACAATGCCACCCAATCATCGGCCCAATCATACGCATATCAAAATCGCAATCAATTTGCAAACAACGCCAATGCTATCGCAGCTGCTGCGGCTGCCGCCGCCGCCAACAATCACAGCTCCTTCAAGCCAAACAACAACAACAACAGCAACAACAACGCATTTTACGGAAACAACATGGTGCTCAACGCATTGGTCAATCAAATTGGTAACAACATAAACAACTCATCGGCTTTCAACTCAAACTTCATTAACGCGATCAATGGCACAAACAACACCAACAACACCATCGCCAATCAACTGAATCAACTGAATCAACTGAGCAACGCAGCACTGGCCAATCTGATGAATCAAAATCAACGACAACAACTCTACGGAATGTGCCGTCAGAATATTAACAAATCAGGAATTAATTTTAACGCAAATAGTCATAAACAAATGCCCACGTACTCACATTTCTAAATTAGAAAAATTGCAATGCATACAAACCTCAAAACATTCACATACACATCCCTCAAGATTTATACATAAAATAATATATCTCAAAAGAAAAAAAAAGCAAAAAATGAAGAAAAGAAGCCAAGCGAACTCAAGATTTAGAAGAAAAGAAAAGAAAAATTAAATTTAAAATGACACACACACACAGAACCACCCCCTAAGAAACATTGACTCGGAGAACATTTATGAATTAGAACGAGAGAACGATACGGATATGGCGCCGAAACTCAAAAATACAAACAAAAACCAAAACTGAGAGAGGAAAGACAAACGGCATTCATTTAAGTTCATTTTCATCATTGATTTCATTCACAAAACCAAAATGAAGAGCTAATTCAAGTTCATTTTGTTCTATTTTTTTTTTAATTTTATTGTTGAACATTTATTTTGTTTTTAGTACGCGTTTTTTTTTAAAAACCCAATTTCTTTAAATAATTGTTGGTGTCACTCAAACGAAAGGGCAGAGTTAAGTTTGAAAGGGAATTTTTTTCTGCGGTTTTTTTTCTTCTGTACATGATTTGCATCGAACACATTTTCTCTCATATTGAGTGTACAATTTGCGCGTTCATCACGACCCAATCTCAGCTCCAATTGATGACTCTAATCAAGGAAACAAAATACAAGTTGAATAGAAAGACAAAGAAAAAACCATCGAACGCATTTTGTTTCATACGATCGCATGTATTTTGTAGTTTTTACATTTCGTTTTCATTAGGGAGCCAAAGTATTGTGTGTATGAGATGGTCAGTTTCATACATGCCAAAGCCATTCTTCTCTCTTTCTCTGTCTGTACAATTCGTTCTATTTTTTCTGCCTTTTTTCACTACATATTTTTCATTATCCATTTTTTTTTGTTTCTCTCTTCGATGTTAATACTTTGTTCGTTTGTACAAGGTTACCTAATGCTCCCAGACATGAATTGAGGCTGAAAAAAGACATAATAAGCCATAGAAATTAACAACAACAATCAAAAGAAAACAAAACAAAAACTGTACGCAAATCATGAACGAAAAGTAGAAATACCGTGACAAAGACATTTATTTGTAATTGTCTCTAAAAAAAAAACAGAGAATATTCAACACATACGAGAAAACGAAAGAAAAAAAAACCAACAAAGATCCAAGATTTACTCTTATTAATCAACTATTTACAAAATAACAACAAATTCTATTATTATTCAATGTAACTTATATATAATATATTTTTTAAAAAGAAGAAAAAAGCAAAAACTGAAGATGGAACATGTGTATATACAGAGCCTGATGATCCGTCACCTGTATCGAGTGTGTCATTCAATCCTATCTCTTACTCTCTCTCTCTCTCTCTCTCTCTCTCTCACCCATCTCTCTCTCTTTCTCTCTGTGTGTCTTTCTCGCTCGATCACCCCTCTCTGTCAATCTCTCGACAAAATACAGAGACCAACACATGAGCAGCGAGAGAGATATGAACAATCTAGTTTTAGAGAATGTGTAAAAAATAGTGTTAAAACAATATATTTATTTGCAATTGATGAAGAAGAAAAAAACACAAATATTAAGAAATGACATCAAATGAAACAGAAAGAAAAAACAACATAAAATAAAACCATATTTAAATTTGGCCACCAAATGCCCACTCAACAATGCCAACAATAGCAATTCGTTCAACGACTTATGGTTTCTCTTTTGCACGATACTTATACATTAAATGTAAATAGGAAAGACACAGATACGAAAAATAACGACACTTTCTGAATATAGATATATGGGTGGCATATGACAATTGTGACAATTCCAAAAATTGAATAATTCTTTCTCAATATTCATTTTTTTCGATTAAAATTGCGTAGAAAATACGATACATGCAATACAAAAGATTTTTCTAAGATATACATGGGCAAAATTGACGAGTCCGCTTGCTTTTGATTTGAAAGACGAAAAAGAAGAAGATGATGAAAGTAAAATGAGGTGAAAAAACGATAACAATTTTGAATTGAATTTCTATTGTTTTTCATTGCATTGTCATCATGATCAGGAACAATCAATGCCTATCTTCTTCGATTGTTGCTGGTCACAAAATCACAAATACAATGGCATACATATAGGCCAAAGCCACATACACACACACACATAAGATATATATATGCATTAATTAGCTAATTTTTGTGTGTGTTTAGATTTAGATGAAAAATCGCAAGATTCATCATTATTACCAAAATTTATTATTATTTATGCGTTAAAATGGATTTCGTTAATTTTAAGAGCCAAATCAACAGCAGAAACAGTTAAAATGACAGGCAAATTTTCGTTTAGAGTTCAATCACACACAGAAAAATATTCCATGATGAGCACATTTACCAAATTATTGAGGGGAAAAAATTAAGAAGAAATTCATTGGCTTTCAATTAATTCGACCTCAATTAGGTCTTTTGGCATTCAATTTATTGAAATTGTATCACACACATTTTTCTCGGCACCTGTCGATTCTCTTCCTCGATGAAAATTTTTTAACGAAAAAAAAAAAACCAATAATTTCTTCTTCGACACGATTTTGTTTTCCTACTTCGTCCACATACTGGGAATGCGATCTTAACAAATTAAATTTTATCTGTTTTTTCGCTGTGCACTTTAAAATAAAAAAAAAACACAAAAATTTCTACGGATTTTTAGGAGAATGGAATAGTGAAAAGTGAAAATAGTTATTTATGTATAGGCAAATTTGAAATCGACCAAAATTCGGTAACGATGAACCAATTTCGTTGGAAAAAAAACACAACAAAAACGTACAACAATTCGGATACAATATTGAAAAATGCAGCGCAATCAAAATCAAAGGAATTTCAATTATCTCATATTTAGTTCATTGATTCGCTGACTGTAATTCCGTGTTGCATGATTTTTTTTAGGCGACATTAGCTTCGATTTCCACCAGATATACACTGATCTGATGAAATAGAATTTTATTAATGGAAAAATAGAATTTTGCCTTTTTGATTTTCGGGACAATTGAATAACGCGTATTAAAATTGTGATGTTTTAAGCCTAATGAAATTATTTAACTATTCGCCGTTATTTCAAGTAATTAGATTTTTTTTTTTTTTTGTTTTTGTTCGTTTTTATTGATGGAATAATTTTTTGTTCGTTCCTCCCCAACCAACACATTCGAGTCTTCTGTTCAATTGTCGCCAGTGTTTTGTTTTTTCGCTTAATTAATTCGAGTTTTCCTTTTTGTTGTGATACATTTAAACGCATTTTAAGTGAGATTCTTAAGAAAAAAAAAATGAATAATAGCTAATAATTTTTGTTCTCGAAAAAAAAAGTAAATGCCTGGGTTCAAACGAATATATGTCCAAAAAGATAAGAAGAAGAAGAAGAAGTAGGCAATTAACCGAACCACAATTAATCGCCAGCAGAAAATCAAATTCTTATGTGCAACAAATGCAAGAACGAATCAACACAAATTCCTTTATACAACACAAAAAGGAACCGTTCACACATACACTCAAACATTTGCGTTTTTTTATGCGCCAGAAATGAAAAATGATACTGAGTATTTGTGGACAAACAACAAATATATAACGTAATTTAATTATTAATTCAAACAGTAGCTAATAGGATTATGCATGTAGATGATTTGCTTGAATTAATTCTTACAAAAGAAGAAAAAAAAATTTAATGAAATGCAAACAATAATAATTTATGTTAGGTGTATATGAACATTTGATATCATAAAATGGTGTTGTGAGATTGTTTTCATGATGATCGATTTTGGTGTATGCACAGTTTTTGAGATCCCGGATGAAGTAGCTTCGAAGATATAATCGTATGATCAGTGATCGGATCCAACCTAATGATAATCACCCGATCGTCTTATACCACAAACCGCCTGTTTTACTTAATCATAAAACTAAAGAAGCAAACAAAATTCAGACGAGGATCCAATATGCTGAATAATCCAACTTGACATCAATTTGTAGTTTTGATACCTGAACTAGTTAAAAATGTGTATTAGAAAAAAAAAATCAAAGAGATTTCAAATCAACTACTGGATTTTAATCAAATTATATCCAAAAAAAAAATAAGAAAATCTATCCAGAATTTAGCCAAATTCTTTAACAAAAGAAAAATCACACAGAGACAGACACATATAGAAAAAGCTCAGTAGCTTTTGTACGTAATAATTTTTGTTTTCTATTTAATGGAATAAGGTGGAAAAATTTCAGAGAGATGAAAAAAATGCCAAATATTTAAATAGTTTCTACACTTCTCTAACCGTATCTAATCACAATTGCCCACAGACATTTCATCCAAATAGATGTGAAAATGATCTTTTCGATTAGGTTTTCATACACGTTTCACTCAAAGCGGTCCAATACAAAATATAATTATTTCGTGTTTTTTTCTTCGTTTTTTAACAACTAAAAAAAAACAAATATATTTATAAAAAAAATCAAGGGGAGTGCTTTGTTTAAGGTGTGATCGCTCAATTGATTCGTTGATTTATTTATGCCTTTGTTGGTGATGTGTAGAGAATTTATTTATTTATTTAATTACATTAAATTATTCACATTAATTTTTAAACAAATCAATTTGAGTAATCGATTCCAAGATCAGTGCAACAAAATAGGAAATGAGTGACCGACATCAACAAAATGAATAAATCGAATGGGGGCGATTGAGTGAACACATTTATGGGAGTGCTCTGCAATGGAATTATTGTAATAGTTATTAGATCCAAGTACCTCTTTGCTCGACTACAATTTAAACAAATGAAACACGTTTTTTTGACTAGCCTTATGACCTAAGTGAGTTGGTTTTTTTTTAATTTTAAACATTTCACTCTTAACTTAACAAAAATGATCAATGTGATTTCAAGTAACACTGGGAAACAAAGTAAACAAAGAAAAAATTAGAAGAAAAAAAATAGTTTAACATAAACAAATCAAGAGGTAAACAGTAGCATCAATTAAAACATGACAATTGATAGAATCAGTTTGTGTCATAGCATACCAATTCTATTTTTTTTTCTCGTTCAATTAGAGACACTTGTGACCTTTTAGTTTTTGTTGTTGTTGTTTAATTCACAGTTTCACCGCGATGTGAAAGGATAAAAAAAACAATTTTCTCAGTTTTCCAATTCTATGTCATTTACAAATATAAAAAAAATATCATTTTCATTCTCCTCAGAAGCAAACAACAAACAACCAAGTTAGAGAGTTGAATCCTTCACCATTTTTCTTTTGCATCAACAATATGAATATTAATAATATTAGATGTAAGTGTTTCAAATCGTATTTTCACTACATGAATATATTGAGTATTAATAAGGCAGACAAGAACACAATAAAAAGAAACAATCGGTTTTTTTTCTTATTCTCTAATTTAAAAACAAAAATTGTAACGAAGC